GTCTGGGCGACAGAGTGAGACTCCAACTCAAAAAAAAAAAAAAAGAGTCAGAGTCAGGTGAATTTCTAAGTGTTTAGGCCCTTCTTTTTCTTTCTGTTTGCAAATCATCTGGAGGGAAAGCATATGTGCATTTTAGGAAACATAGGGAAAAATATCATGAGAATAGTAAGTGTCACCTTGCATGGGATGGTCACAGGTACTCTGATGCATTATCTCATTGGAGCTTCATGAACTACATATCAAGGTGGGTGTTCCTGTCCCACGTGGTGAGAGACCACTTGTTGGGTAAGGGAAGGAGTTAGGATTTGAACCCAGTGAGTGACAGTCCACAGCTGGCACTTGTTCCCCCCACTTCTCTTTACCTCTGAAACCAGTTGGCTTCGTAAAAGCTCTGTGGCCAAATACCTTCAGTTTTCTAGCCTGCTGTAAGTGAATGGCTTCTCAACTCCTGGAGTTTGGCTTTATTTTGAAAATTAGCATATTTAGTATGGATTGCACTAAAAGTCTAAAGGGAAATTGATGTGATTCAAATACTGATCGTGTTCCATGAAAATATACTCAGTCTTTCTTTGGCTCCTCCATTCAATTTTAAAATTCCTATTGAGTGCCTGTGTGCTAAGAGTCAAGCAAAATACTTGGTTTATGATGGCAAAAAACTTATAATACATATATATGCTATATATTATGTATATGTATTATATATACATAATACTTGGAGTACGTGTAGTCTAACGAGAGAATATAGACCTTAAAGGAATATATCCCATTATCTAGTTTTATAAGTAAAGCAAGAGATACACAGAAGATATGTAGAAGGGCCACTGGTCTGGCCTGGAATGTCACTGGAGGCTTGCTAGAGGAGGACCTGAGCAGAGATAGGAGCTACACAACCTGATACTAAAGTCATGTGACAATGCTTCATCAATAACTGTTGAATGAATAAGGGTTCAAGGGTAGGACCAATGGAGCCACTGCCTGAGATAGGACATTGGAGGGGAGAGAAAAAAAAAGGTTCCCCATAAAAAAGAGCCAGAATAGCCAAAGCAATCCTAAGCAAAAAGAAAAAAGCTGGAGACATCATAGTACCTGACTTCAAATTATGCTACAAGTTGTAGTTACCAAAGCAGCATGCTACTGATACAAGAGCAGATGCACTGACCAATGGAACAGAATAGAGAATTCAGACATTAACTCAAATACCTACAACAACTATTCTTTGACAGAGCAGACAAAAAACATACACGGGGCAGGGTGGGGGGGCAGAGAACACCCTATTCAACAAATGGTGCTGGGAAAATTGAATAGCTACACGCAGAAAAATTATACTTGATCCCTCTCTCCCCACGTATACAAAAATTAACTCAAAAGGGATTCAATACTTAAGTGTCAGATATGGAAACCTAAAAACCTAAAAGAAAACCTATGAAAAACTCTTTTGAACATTGGCCTAGGCAAAGAATTTATAGCTAAAGCTCCAAAAGCAAATGCAATTAGGATAAAAATAAGTGGGACTTAACTACACTAAAAAGTTTCTGTACAGTGAAAGAAATAATCAACAGAGCAAAGAGGCAACCTACAGAATGGGAGAAGATATTCACAAATTATACATCTGACAAAGGACTAATATCCAGAGTCTACAAATAACTCAAACAAATCAGAAAGAAAAAAGCACACAACCTCATTAAAAAGTGAGCAAATGGCTTGAACAGACATCCCTCAAAAGAAGATACACAGAAGGCCAACAAATATATGAAAAAATCCTCAACATCCCTCATTACCAGGAAAATGCACATTAAAACCACAATGAGATGCCACCGTATACCACTCAAGTGCAAATTAGTATAAACTCTATGGAAAGCGATATGGAGATTTCTCAAAGAACTAAAAGTAGGTCTACCATTTGATCCAGAAGTCCCACTACTAGGGATGTACCCCAAGGAACAGAGGTCGCTATATAACAAAGACACTTGCCCCTGCACGTTCACTGCAGCACAATTCACAATGCAAAGATAGGCAATCAACCTAAATGCCCATCAAGCGATCAGTAGATGATGAAATGTGGTATATATACACCACGGAATACTACACAGCCATCAAAAAGAAAGAAATCATGTCCTTTGCTCCAACATGGGTGAAGCTGGAAGTCACTATCCTAAGTAAACTGACTCAGAAACAGAAAACCAAACACTGCTTGTTTTCACTCATAATGTGGGAGCCAAACAGTCACAAGGATGGTCACTGCGGACACCAATAAGCAGGGAATGAGGAGAGGGATAGGGTTCAGAAACTACCTACAGGGCACAATGTTCACTATCTGGGAAATGGGCCACCTGAGACCCAATCCCCACCACTATACAGTATGTCCATGTAACGAATATGCGTGTGTACCCCCTGAATCTAAAATTAAAATTTGTAAAATAAAAAATATTTAAAATTTAAATAAAAAGTTCCCTTGCCCTGCCCTTATTGGCTTCTTGCTCCACACAGCTGTTTGCTAGGGAGGGGACACCTGATCCACGCTGTGTGTAGAAGAGGAGTCAGTGGGCTGGGAGGACCTGAGCTGTTTTCAGGGAGAATTTCCTTTGAAGGGGAGGGCATGGCAAGGCCATCATTTGCCAGAGACAGACCAGACAGGCAAGCAGCCCAGAGACAGACACGCTGATGGCGTGGCCCAGGAGAACAGGAGGGTCAGCTCTGCCACTGACTTTCCAGCACCTGCTCCTTCCTACCCGGGAACTTACAAGCTTTGTCCTTGGATGCTGGGAAGGTTTCTCTTACCGCAAACTTTCCTGGTCTTGCATTCAGTAGATTTTAGTTTTTTACCCCCAGAGGCAGAGGAGATGAATTCATTTTAGACCCCTTGGCCCTGAGGTTATGTCTGCAGAGATGGGCAGCAGGTGGTCAACAGACAAGCCCACGGTTCAGGAAGGACTTCAGTACTAGAGAAAGATTGGGGGAGGGGGAGTATCAGTTTTCCCAAGCCCTCTTACTTCTCTCATTTCTAAGCCAATCCTATTTTTTTTCCCTCCCCCCTTGCCATGCGCTATAAAGGATGAGAAATACCATGAAACATGGGGCTATCCCTTTGACGAGCCTTGTGAAAAAATAGGAATAATCCTGCCCTGTCAGTATTGCAAGACTATCATGGGCATCTAACATCATCAGAGAGCTTAGAGAAGAGACCTACATGTATAGAAGGTTGCATGCTCACCTCCCACTGGTAGCAAGTAGGGGAAGGAAAATAAGACACTGCTGGGAGTAGGACTGGAGAAACAGTTATACACCGAGTGCCGTCCATGAGCTTCCGCTCTGCCTAGCACTCCAGGCTTTATCTATTTTGAGTCCTCACAAGAGCATCATGAGAAGGTATAGTTATTGTTCCCGATTTGCAGATGAGGATACTGAGACTAGGTACTAGGTACTTGGTCGTGGGGTAGGTACCCCCGGGAATAATCACCCTTCTTCCTGTCTCTACTGACACTTCAACAGATGGGACCAGCTGCAGTGAGCAGCGTCATGTTAGAAGGGGTGATGGGATCTTGTGCCAAAAACTCAACCAGCCAGAAAGCCCTTGACTTCCATAAATCTCAGCTATACTCGTTTATTAAAAAGAACGAGGAACGCCCACCTTGCAGGACTGCTGTTTGGACTAGAGCTGGTCACGTAAAGGGATTGTGAAACTGGGCAGGACCATGCCCATGGTGCGGCTTGGCTATTGCCTGATTCTTCCCTGTGCAAGCTGCCAGTCTCTCCTTTCAATATTAGTACATTAAGGAAAAGCATCTGCTGGTCAGTAACTGAAGACAATGTGTCATGTGACTTAGAGCTGCATGGGCCACGTGACTTTGAAACGGTCTAGGGGAAGCCATGGCTGCCGGGTCTCACCTTACCTGCAATGGTCCTCAGGGCTTTTGTCTCTGCACCACATCCTGTGTGTGGTTCTCTAAGTTTGTAGTTTTCCTTTGTTCCACTGTAAGCAGTATATTGAAATATTACACCGTATAAAATTCAGTGTGAGAACGCAAGGGAAATGTTTACCAAAGCAGTGTCTCTGCCAGGAAAGCAGTCAAGATAAAGTAGTAACTGCAAAACTCAAAAACAAAAACTCTACCTAAGGCTTATTCTACAGAACATTATTCACTGAATAAATTCCACCAGTCACCCTCGATAGTTTATGACAGAAAAGTCCTTTTCTCTTATGAATGGATAGTTGAAAAGCATATAATATTATTTCAAAACTTCAATTTTCCATACAAAGACTAGAGAATTTGATCTTCATTTTGTACCACACATCACTTGAATAAATAAAAAAATTCCCTTCCAAGAAAATAAAAAGTTTCACATTAGAACTACATTTATAGGCTGGGCTTGGTGGCTCAGCCTGTTATTCCAGCACTTCAGGAGGTAGAAGTGAGTGAAATGTCTGAGCCTGAGGGTTCAAGACCAGCCCCGGCAACTTGGCAAGACCTCATCTCTACAATAATAATAAAAAAAAATTAGTCGGGCATGATAGCATGCGCCTGTAGTTCTGGTTGCTTGGAAGGCTGAGGCAGAAGGATCATCTGAGCCCAGCAGGTTGAGGCTGCGGTGGCCATGAGTGTGCCCCTGCACTGCAGCCTGGGCGACAGAGTGAGACTCCAACGAGAGAGAGAGAGAGAGAGAGAGAGAGAGAAAGAGAAGAACTACATTTATGTACACAAAAAACTCATTTATTATTACTGTTTGGCGTCTAAATATCTTTTTTTTTTTTTTTGAGTTGGAGTTTCACCTGTCCCCAGACTGGAGTGCAGTGGCCGTTCCC